ATGATGATTCAGACTTACGGCTGTGTTTAAACTCTCTCAGGATATGATACAACTAAGGCAATCTTATCATCTGGAACCATGTTTGAAACACAATGAAAGTAAAACGAGAGAATAAATATTTTTTTACCATGGGGAAAGCTGCACGTCACCGCAGCTGCCATCTTCTGAGGACATGCTTCACTCTGCCAGATATCTTTTTCACAGAGCACTATATTTTCTTCATCTCCTCGACAACGAACATTACTCCAATAAACAGGAATAAGGCCCAGTCCAGAGAACGGTGTTTGTTTTGCTACTCCTTTTCCTCTGGGAATAGAATGATCAATGTTAGATTTAACAAACGTAAGTGAAATTTTTTATCAAAGCCATTATATTTTTAAAAATGGAAGAAACCAACAAAGGTGAATATGGAAAAAAGGAGAAAGACATAATGGATTATATAAATTTCAAGGGATTCAAAATGCCAGATTAGGATTTGGGTTGATTATCTATGGCAAACTGAATGGTGCTTTTAACAATCTTGAATAACTATTGATATGTACCTCTGCTGGTAGTAAGGTAATCAAGTAAATGGGCAGGTACTGGAGATATAAGAATGGAGTCTAGCTGGCCTCATAGAAAAAGTGTGGCATGAGACTCAATAAAGCTTGGATTCTGGTATGGACTCAATTATAAATCACTCTCTAAGGCTCTGTCCTCCAATGTGTAAAATGAGAAATCCGGATGCTTGAAAATTCTTTCTCACTCCAACATTCTAGTCTAGTGTTTTCAAAATGATTATTATTACTATATCTGAGAAAGAATATCAAGAGAGCGATCCATTTACAATTTTTAAAACCTTATGTAGAGTCTTTGCTAGTAAGACTTTGTAACTAATTATTAAAATAATAACTTGCAGATGGGCTCTAATCTTAACCCATCCAATCTGCATATTTTTAAAAATAACCATTTATGTGAATAAACTAATAGGAAATTTTTTAAAGATTAATACTTATCTGATTAATATGTTAATCTTTAGAATTGTCTCCAGGCTACAGTTTCTAGCAACCAAACAGTAAATATTTGAGGTGTGTCTCAAATATGAATGTTTCAACAGTAATAAATCTGGGTTGCTCTGTTGTTTTTGTGCAACTCTTTTTTAAAAAAAAAAATATAGACTAATAAGAGATAATATAACTAATCAGATAAGCTTATCTGAAATTTATTTTTACTGAAGAATAGTGTACATTCTTTCAACCACAAAAAGACTAGCAACCACACTAGTTCACATCTCCTTTATATTATCCTTGCTTTCTTTATATCTGAGGCACAGAGGAAATTTTTCTACCCTGTTTTCAAAGAGTAATAAAAGCATATGTCGATATGCATAGAAGAGACTAGCATACAAATTTTTTACAGCAGTGGTTCTCAAAGGAAAAAGCATCAAATCAATATTCACTGTGATCTGCCCACCTGCTAAGAGCTGTTTGCAAGACCAGTCATTGAAGAAACAGTAATTAACATTTTTTAAAATTTTATAGTGTCTGGTATACTACTTTAATCGTGATTTGGAGCTCTGGTGGTGTAGTGACATAGGTATTTGACTGCTAACTAGAAGGTTGGCGGTTCAAAACCACCAGCCGCTACACAGAAAGAACACTGGGCAATCTACTTTTGTAAGGATTTACTGCCTCGGAAACCCAAGGGGATCAGTATGAATTGGAATCAGCTTGATGGCAATAAGTAAACAAAAGTGAAAGTAAAATCGTGATTTGTTCTCTCATTTTTAAAAATAGCTAAAATAATTTTAATTTAATACCTTTAATTCTTGTGGTAGTTATGTTTGTGTGTCAACTTGGCTGGGCCTGGATGAGTGTCTGGGCAGCTGGTGGTAGTTATTCCCTATGATGAGACTGGCAATCAGCTTCATAGTGGAATCTACCACAAGCAGCTGAGTAGCTGCCTTTGGGAATGTGGTCTGCTTCCTGTATTTAAGGAGAAGCCTTGGGAATGGTCTCTAGCCTATGGCACGCTTAAACCCTGCATGTAG